GAGAGAGAGAGAGAGAGAGAGACCTGATCGGTTGTGTTGGGTCATTCCTAGCCATTTTCTGTTCTATAGGAATCTGCTCCCATTTGAAGTGTAAACTCCAGTCGAAACCTGACATCAGAGGGGAAAAAGTGAGGCAGTTATTTCTGGAATCAACACATGCAGTAATTTTTAATCGGTCGACTGATATTTTGATGGCCGATACCATACACATGATGTCATTTAAACAACGTGCAAAACAACTGCTGCGATGAAATGTAATTTAATTTACAAACTAAACTGAAATAATTAACTGCAAAAAAAATTAACCTGTAAAATAAAAGTATTAATTTAGTGACTTCTTGATTCTGTAATCCTGTTACAGTATTTTTCATAGTATAAAATGCTTCCCTGTAGTTCAAGCAGTAGAGCCTGGCAAATTAATAAATGTAAACTATAGTATTTTTCACAAATAAAGAAATAGTTAAAAACCTGAATAAAAGCTAACAGCGCGCTACACACTGGGAAACATATTTTCTCAAAGACCAGTTAATGCTGATTTTACATATGAGATGAATATGACATGGCAGCAAACTGGATATAGTACATAGTACTGGATATAGTACAACATTTGAAATCTGTGCTCAGGTGTTGGTGTTTTTTCCGTTGTCAAAATAAAAGATGCTTCCGACACTCATCAGCCAAGCAAAAAATAATAATATATCAGCTGGTATATCAGACTTTATAAATGAACCAGTTTATCCTTCAAAGCTCAGGTGAACAATCAACTGTGGTTAAAATGTCACTTGGGATCTTATGTGAGTTTGTCGGTGTGCCGAGCATAAGTGGCTTAAAGATAAGTTACAAGTATCTTATGATAACCTCTGAGAATCTCTATGACAATATCAAGATGCTGTTAAAGCAGCTAGATCTTATTTCTAGCTAATTATATTGCATAATGTAAATAACCCGAAGGTTTTGTTTGCAGCCATAGATAAGGTACTGAGTCTGTCTATTAATATTTTCTCTACTGCGACTAAAGACTTGTGTGAGAGTTTAAAAAAATATTTAATTGATAAGGTTGATTTTATATGCTTGAAAATTTTACCAGTAGGCAATGTTGTAATCGATGCAATGAATCCTTCTTATTGTTTGAGTAAAACAATTGTTTGAGTATCATTAGAGTGTTCCTCCTTCACGATTTTTTAAGGAGGTTGCAGACATTATTGGTCCTTTTATTCTATTGATTATTAATAGTAGTTTATTTTATGGCACTGTACCATCAGCGATTAAGCATGCAATCATTGAACCTGTTTTAAAGATAACGAACTTGAATTCACAGGATTTAAAAAATGTCAGACCCATTTCTAAATAGTTTTTTATGAATAACATCTTGGAGAAGGTTGTCCATTTTCAACTTGTTGATTTCTTGACTGAAAATGGTATAATGGATACTTTTCAGTCTGGATTTAGAACTAAACATAGTACTGAATCAGCGTTATTAAAAGTTACAAATTATATTTTGTTAAATATTGACTTCGGGAAATGGGTTGCCTTAATGCTGTTAGATTTGAGCACAGCCTTCGATACAATAGATCAGTGATGGGCAAACTTGGCCCTTCCGGGCCACTTTCCTGCAGAGATTTGATCCAACCCTGATAAAACTCACCTGCCTATAGCCTTCTAGTAGTCTTGAAGACAATGATTAGCTGGATCAGGTGTGTTTGATTAGGGTTGGAGCTAAACTCTGAAGGAAAGTGGCCTGGAAGGGACAAGTTTTCCCACCCTTACTGCAATAGATCATGTCATGTCATGTAGAACGCCTTAGAGACCATGTAGGGACAAACAGTGTTGCCCTTCAGTGGTTTTCTTCTTATTTGCAGGATCGGACATGCGCTGTAAACATCTGTAATTTTGTTTCTGGACCTGCGACTATCTCTTGGGGTGTTCCACAGGGATCGATTATTGGTCTAACCCTGTTTTTGTTATACATGTTGTCTTTAGGGTCGATTTTTAGGCAATACAATATAAATTATCATTTGTATGTGGATAATTTACAACTGTACCTTCCTCTTGGGTGTGATGACTGTACATCATTTGCTAATTCTTCTATGTGTTTGACTGAGGTAAAGGGATTGTTAACAAATAATTTCCTACAATTAAATGAGGATAAGACCGAGTTTATTATATTTGGGAATAGACTCCCTGAGAAAGAACTGGTTGAGAGTTATGGCCTATTGTCAAACAACATGCATAGTTTTGGGAAGAATTTAGGAGTAATTAGGACTCAGATATCTGCTTTGATCACCAAGTAAACAGTGTTGTGAAAGGACCTTTTTTTCAGTTATTCTGAATCAGTTATCTGAATTGAAACCTATCCTTTCTACCAAGGATCTGGAAACTGTTATGCATACTTTCATTTCCACAAGATTGGATTATTGCAATGCTTTATATTTAGGCCTAAGTGAATCTCTGGTTACTTGTCTTCAGTATGTTCAAAATGCTGCTGTGAGACTTCTAATTAATAAAACGGGATTATATAACGCCTGTGTTGATATCTCTTCTCTAGTTACCTGTAAATTATAGAATTCAGTACAAGGTGTTAATGTTTGTGTACAAAGCATTGCACAATCAGGCTCCTAAATATATAAAGGACATGCTGTCTCCTTACCAATCTCAACGTCATCTGCGCTCTTCTCAGAACTTGCTCTTAACGGTTCCTCAGTCTCGTTTAAGGCGTAGTGGAGATCGCGCCTTTTCAGTTGCGGCTCCTAAGCTCTGGAATGCCTTGCCACTATTCATAAAATCTTCATCAACTATGGACATTTTTAAAAGGAACTTAAAGACTTATTTCATCAGGCTTTTGGCGTTTGAGTGGGTCGGATTAATGTGAGTGATTTCGTTGTACAGTTTATATTGGTGTCATGCTGTGTTGGTATTGTATGTTCGTAAGGTTATTTTTTTTTATTATCACTGTACAGCAATTTGGTCAATTTTCATGATTTTGAAAGTGCTTTATAAACAACCGCTGAGTTGAGTTGTGCTTTAAGTATCAACTCTGTCTCATATGTTTGTCTCCTAATATTCCTTGATAACAATAAAATTAGACATAAATGAGTCAAATTTTTACAAACAATATCAATCAATATCAAAATTACTAAAACAAACTAAAATTAAAATGCAAACTAAAAAATATGAAAATAAAAGTTAATTTTAAAATACTAATAAATATTATAATAGTATATAAGTAATAGTAAAATAACACTGGTTCATAATGAGATCTATTGATTGCAGACTTTGGCGTCTTGGCAAATCTGAGCACAGTCTGAGATATCGAAGACGTTAGAGGAGAAACGTGTGAGATTATTCTCATCAGAAACATCTTTCTCCTTTTACTCTCATTGCATAGAAACAAATATTAAAGAGATTAAATTGATACATTAAAGAGATTTTTTTTTTGTTTGTTTGTTTTTGTGTGCTAAAGCAGTGAGATCTCTCTCACCTCCTCTCAGGTCTGCAGAAGCGGCCAGGTAGGCAAAATTATCCAGACTGATCACATCAATGATGGGACTGACCGCACGCGTGTGATCCTACAAGAGAACACAAACCACAAATGACCAGTGTAATTATGGGTAAAAAGCTTTGCAATTATTTGATTTATTTAGTAATTATTGAATTTCAGGCCATACAAGCAGAAAGGAGGACACAAGCCATTTGTGTGTCTCCATGAAGACCCTGCTGAACTTTCTTAAAGGGGCCATATGATGCTGCTAAAAATAACATTATTTGGTCTATTTGGTGTAATGAAATGTGTTTATGCGGTTTAAAGTTAAAAAACACATTATTTTCCACATACTGTACATTATTGTTTCTCCTCTATGCCCCGCCTTTTTGAAATGCGCCGATTTTTACAAAGCTCATCGGTCCGAAAATGCGAGGTGTGCTGTGATTGGCCAGCTATCCAGTGCGTTGTGATTGGCCGAATACCTCAAGTGTGAGACGGAAATGTTAAGCCCCTCACATACTGTTGATGGCGTGTCCCGGCCGGAGCGATGAGAGAAAAACATTAAAACCCATTACAAACGAGGCATTTGTTGCATCCAGTGGGGACATAATTACTGATTATAATGACTTATACTGTCTTTTTACACGTTGCGTTGCATTGCATTGCGCCGCGTAAACATAAAACTCTATCTGCATTTGTGATCAGAGAAATGACAAAAAACAGGTGCTACTCTACACTGCCCAAAACTCGCGTTTAAATCATCAGTGGCAAATCCTTTAAATGAAAACGTACTTACAGACTGTGAGTCAGAACAGCCGTCATTGTAGTCTACTCTCCCAGGATCAGTAAACAGTCCTCCATAAAATGTGCTGCACACATCTGGATATTTGGGTTAAACTGTTCTGGAACAGTGTTGTAAATACAACTTAACCACTGATTTGTAGTCGTGTCCTCTTTTGGAAGACCAAACAAAGTAGTTTCGCTTTCACAATGAAAAACAACAGCCTAGCGTGAGGGGAAGCCCCGGCTTAGCGTGCGCTGAGGCCGGGATAGAGTGAGCTGAGGCCGGGCTAGAGTAAACTGAGGCCAGGCTAGCGTGAGCTGAGGCTGGGCTAGAGTGAGCTGAGGCAGCGGGGTCAAGAACGGCGCGCCCGGCGGATCCGACGAATGAGCGGCAACCACATGTGACGACCCCGAGCTGGACTCCGCTTGGACGTCCTCTTTTGGTAGACCAGACAAAGTAGTTTCGCTTTCACAACGAAGCACACAGCATCTTCACGACATGGTTGCAGCGTCAACAATACTACAGTGAGAATAAAAGTTACGCCTTTCTTTGCGTGAACATTTGGGTGGCGTTATGCAAATCTTCCCACATAGTGAGGTAGATATGTGGGGGCGTGTTAGAACGAGCCGTTTTAGGTAGGTGTGGCTGACTCTGAACTTTTATAAAGAATATCTCTTTGGATTTGAGACTTTAGTCTTTGCAACTTTACAGATCTTCTTTATGCACCAAGAGCTTGTAACACTCCAAAGAGAAAGGAAAAATTGAAATCGCATCATATGCGATTAAATATTGTTAAATTTAAGGCTTAAATTTAAACTCAAAATAAGGTTTTAAGTTGAATTAGGAGGACATTTTTTAGAGCATGAAATGAAATTTCATCTATTTTCTAAATTCATTTTATGGATCTTATTATGAATGATTTGTCTCGGGTTACTTGACTGTAACCCTGTTCCCTGAAAAAGCGAGAACGAGATGCTGCGTTTCAATAACGCTTATGAGAACATTCTTTGTTCGACCGGTTGTGAAGCACTGTGTCAAAGATGCCAAGAATTGGCTAAAATAACCTTTGTGGGTGACGTCATTTGATTATGTGCACCTGCGGGATTATAAATAGACGTGAAACAGACACACCTGCAGGTTATACCTTTGTCTGAAGGGATGTCCAGGCACGCCTACGTCTCAAAGGGAGAACTCTTGCTAAAGCCATAGAGGATGCAACCCTCCTATTTGAATGGGCCCTAACTCCTAGAGGCGAAGCTTGACTGCGTGCCTCATAGGCTAGGGCAATAGCATCTGTGATGAGTGGGGGCGGGGCCGAGAGCTGTGGGAACAGAGCAAGGCCAGTGGAGTAAGTGATAATGCACGACACCTGCGCCACACACCGGTCTCGAGTTCCATGGAGGAGCTCCAGAAGGATAAAAGGAGGAGTGACGACAGTGCAAGACGAGAGAAGACCAGGCCTGGACTTTATTTTGTGTTTTGTGTGCGGCAGTTGTCCGCGAGGGGCTGCCGCTTTACTTTCATTTTGTGTTGGTTTAAAAGTGTTTAAATGTTCGCCGGTTCCCGTCTCCTTCCCAAACTACGAACTTTGTTACAGCATCCCTCACCAAATATGACATTGTTTGTCTCATGGCAGGTCTCACGGTTGCGGCCCCCATAGCATATGAAAAGCTGCTCCGACTTATGCCACTGGCTAGTGCAGTGGACGTAAATCTGAAGAGCACATACTGGACACAGTAAGTGAAGTCTTTCCTGCTCTGGTGCCGTAAACGGTGGAGGGCAGAAGGCTTCAAGAATGACTGGATTTAAGGTCGAGAATGGAACTTTGAGAAGATAGGGAAGATGAGGATGCAAAATAGCTTTGACCAGCCCAGGGGCAAAATTTAAGTAGGATGGCAAGACTGACAGAGCCTGCAAATCCCCAATTCTCTTTAGAGAAGTAATAACCATGAGAAAACCCAACTTTAGAGTCAGAAACTTGACAGGCGCTGACACAAGTGGTTCGAAAGGGGTCCCAACTGGACCCTCGAGCACTATAGTTAAGTCCCACGAAGGGACTGTCGCTCTGGTGGGCGGCCTCAACCACTTAGCTCCATGAATGAAGCTGGTGACATGAGGGTGCTTTCCCACAGAGATCCTGTCAATCAGAGCGTGGCAAGCCGAAATAGCAGCCACATAGATTCTGAGAGTACCAAGACATGTACCTGAGGACAGTGTTTTTTGCAGGAACTCTAGCACTGAAACAACTTGGCAGTGAACTGGGTCTGCATGGTGTGTCATACACTACCTTTCGAAAACACGCCATCGGAGGGCATAACTTCTTCTAGTGGAGGGAGCCCTAGCACTCAGAATCATCTGTACTACATCGGCTGGAAGCCTACATGTAGCATCTCTTAGTTGGTCCCCCACAGGGGCCAGACATGAAGGTTTCAGAGCTCGGGCCGGGGATGAAATACTGTCCCCTGCACCTGAAATAGGAGATCCCTCCTGACCGGAATCGCCCATAGTGAGCCATCGAGGAGAGATATTAGATCTGAGAACCACAGTCAGGTCGGCCAATGGGGCGCTATCAGTAAGAGGCGAGACCCTTGTTGACAGACCTTGGCCAGGACTCCTGGGAGCAGAGCGATCGGGGGAAATGCGTAAAGATGTAGTCTGGGCCACGTGTGGGCCATTGCGTCCAGACCCAGGGGAGCTGGAGGAGTCAGAGAGAAGTAGAGGGGACATTGTTCTGTCCCCTGCAAAGCAAAGAGGTCCACCTCTGCTTCGTAAAATCTTTCCCAGATTTGACTGACTACTTCGGGGTGGACTACTTCTGCTGCCACATTCATATGCCCGGGAATGTAAATCGCCCTGAGGGACAGGAACCTGTTCTGTGCCCAAAGAAGAACCTGCTGCGCTAGCCAGTTCAGGCGGCGCAACTGTAGTCCGCCATGGCAATTTATGTAAGAGACTACCGCAGTGTTGTCCACCCACACTGGCACATGGTAGCCTCTTAACTGCTGGAGGAAGTATTTCAGGGCCCGAAATAGAGCCTTCATTTCAAGGTAATTGATGTGCCAGTCGAGAAGATGACCTCTCCAGATCCCTTGGGCTGGACGGCCATCTAAGACCGCACCCCAGCCCGTGAGGGAAGCGTCTGTTGTTAGCATCTTGCAACGACAACACGCACCTAGAGTGGCACCCAAAGTCAGAAACCGGGGTCTGAACCCCATAGAAAGGGTACGAAGCCCCTGGCGCATAACCCTTATTTGCCTCTGGGGGTTGGCCCTTAGATGAAATTCCCTAGCTCTGAGCCACAACTGAAATGGTCTCATGTGCAGGAGGCCCAAAGGTATCACCGTGGATGCAGCTGCCATGAGACCTAGAACCCTTTCAAAGTAATGGAAAGTAACATTCTGGCCAAGCTTGATATTCTTTAGGGTGTTTAGAATGGAGTCGACACATGCACGAGACAGCTGTGCCCGCATTGTGATCGAATTCCATACAACCCCCAAATACATTGTCCTCTGGGCAGGAGAGAGAATGCTTTCCTTGGCATTGGGTCTCAATCCCAGAGATTCGAGATGAGCTAGGACAACATCCCAATGTCGAAGCACAAGCTCTTGAGACTGAGCCAAAATCAGCCAGTCGTCTATGTAATTTAAAATGTGAATGCCCTGGACTCGCAGAGGAGCCAGTGTTGCATCCATGCATTTTGTGTATGTGCGGGGTGACAAGGCTAGGCCGAATGGAAGAACCAGATACTGGTAAGCTTTGCCCCCGAAAGCGAACCTCAGGAACTTCCTGTGTTGTGGCAGGATTTCTATGTTTCTATGTTCTGAGGTAGCGGTTCAACCCACAAAGATCTAAAATTGGATGCAAACCCCCACCTTTTTGGGAACCAGAAAATACCGGCTGTAGTAGCCTGACTCTCTGTCTGGCAGGGGAACACTTTCTATGGCCCCTTTGTTCAGCAGAGCTTGCAATTCCTGTGTCAACAAATGTGCTTATTCCGGTTTCACAGAAGTGGAGAACACACCGTTGAAACACGGAGGGCGACGCGCAAACTGTATCCTGTAGCCTTTCTCTACTGTCCTTTTGACCCACGGAGAGATATTTGGCAGTAGTTTCCATGCTGCCAATTTCTCTGAAAGGGGCACTAGTTTTGACACTTCACTTTGCTTGGGGAATATTAGATGTTCGGTGTCCTGAAACATGGCAGGAGGCAACCAAACATTTAACATTTAGCTGGAGACGACTGTGTCAACAGAGCCACCAAATTGGCCGGAAGGAGAGATGGGGGCATCAAGGAGTAATATGATGCCCTTGATGCCCATGAGGTTCAGCCACATGTGCCTCTCCGTGGAGACCATAGGTGCCATTGAATGGCCAATGGCACAGGCCGTCGGCTTAGTCGCACAGAGAGACAGGTCTGTGGGCCAGCGAAATTCGGAAAACAATGGCCAGGCTCATGCTCAAGTCCTTGAGCAGGTCAGCCTGGTACACCTACAAACCCGCCATGGTGTGCAGGGCAGCACCAGCCTTATCCGCTGCTTGGAATGCTTTCCCCCCCAGTGAGGATGTCAACCTACAGGGCTTGGTGGGAGCATTGTTTTTTTCAGAGAGGATGAGCTCCCAGGGGAGAGATAGCCCATAAACGTATCTTCCACCTGGGGAATCATCATGTAGCCCTGTGCCTTTGCATCCATGATAGTCGAATAAATTGACGTTGAAGGCACAAAGACATGGGACGAATAGGGCTTACTCCATGAATGAGTTAACTCGCCATGGAGATCGCCAAAGAAGGGGAGAGACCCTCCTTCCCTCCCCTTGGCCACCTGACAGTAATCTGTCATCAAGCTTCGAGCATTTGGGGGTCTCCTGCGGCCAGTCCAACTTTAGTTTGCCGACTGCCCGACTGACTTCTTGGCTGACACATGTGTTGACACACGTTCTTCACGACCAGTTATTGAAACGCAGCATTGAGAGTAGCTTTTGATAGGGAACATCCATGCATGTGTTAAAATTTTATTTAATGTTTAATTTAATGTTATTACTGGATCTTCTAAAACTCTAAAGCCATCCAAACAGATCAGCCAAAACCAGTAGTATAATATAAACTAAATTGTTTAAATAAATTAAAATATTTTTTTCTCCAAAAGAGGAAAAAAAATATGAAGAGAAGGATCATGGCATTCAGAAGAGAGAAAGATGTCAAATTTATCATCTCTCCCTCAGCAACTGTATTTTTGTTATGGTCCGCGTAAGAAAGCTCACGAAGACGCAGATAAACACTAGGGAATAGACATTAATAACAAAGATACTGGAGACAGGAATGAATTACATGCCAATATAAACATGCCAAATATAACACTGAGGGAGAACTGAGGACTTATAAGCATGAACCAAACAAAGGAACTAATGAGGTAATTAACAAGACAACAGGTGGAAAAAATGAACTAAATCAGAAGACAGGAAAACTAGGTCAAGCCAACAACACAACAGAAACACAAGACATACATGTTACAATTTTATTGCCAAGGTAATATAACACAAAGTATAGTGTTATAAATGCATATTCAATATTTAAAAAATGAAAAATGTGGCTAGATTTAGGATGTTGATCATTGCAGAAATGCATCATCTGACTCTGTGTAAAGGCTCTGTGAATGTGCAGCATTCACTGATGCAGAGCATAGTGTGTTCTTTGCAAGATTTGCTACTTTGAAACTTTGCTTGCTGCTGTGCATATACTTGTGCATACATAAAACTATTTTCAAGCATGTAAACCTGCAAGTGTCACATGAAAAAAAACTTGTGCCGGGGAAGTTAAGCCAAAGTTAAGCCAGTTGCAACTGTATAAGTAAAACAAGTGTTTTCAATTAGAGCTGGCGCTGTACACAAACACGCTGAACTCTGTGCTCAGAAATCCATCTATAACACACCCCACCTACAGCAGATTCATACAGCATTTGACATCAGGACACTCATCTCAGAAGAAGCCCATGGCTTGTCAGTAAAAATTAAATAAATAAATATAAAAAATAAAAATAAATAAATAAAAAATAAAAGCATTTTGTAAATCTAAATTTTGACATTTAACAAAAATAGATTTTTTTGTGGCGCATTTAATAGATTTGTATTTCTGTGTTCTGAATTTTTAGGAGTGAAACTAGTGGTAATCATTCAAATTCTAATATTACATAATTCAGAATTTCTTCTTTCTCTTGATGATCTCAGTATTTACAACTAATTTCACCTTTAAAAACCTAAACATCTGCTGTTTAAAAATACAAATCCATAAAAAATGTGTCACAAAAATTATTTTTCAATTCAAAATGACAAAATTCAAATAGTTTTCACGCCCCATATGTTTCAAGCAGTGTTTATCTGTTTAAATCTAACCGACTGTTGCTCAAGGCTTCAGACACTGATTCTTTTTCAAAGTGTTGAGGAGAGCACACAGTGTTTCTTTCAGTGTGTATCATTAGATTTCTTACAGCACTCATATTATTCAGATATGCGTATTAACTGCTTGTCCTGTTCCGGCCAAGGAGGTCGCCTATGAACTCTCTGTCTGTCCTGTTTCGGCCCAGGAGGTCGTTTGGGAACTGTTGTCCTGTCCCGACCCAGCCAAGGAGGCTGCCTCTGAACACTCAGCCTTGACTTCTCACAACTCTGTCTTTTAAAGTCTGAGCTTTTTTTTATAGCTCACAATTGGTTCTGGAATTCTGGAAAATTTCACATAGACTTTACTTTGGATACTTCTCCAGTTCTTATTGATTATGTTTTTAATATCATGTGAGGCAGCACTCTATTCAGTAACAAAATATGGTCTTGTGGAAATAATATTCTTATGTTTTACTTTATTCAAGGCTTTTTTTAATATACTCTCTGTTTAAATTGTCTTATCTTAATTGGGGTGAAACATTTAAAATTTGAATCAGATTTTACAACATCATATTTTACAGCATTGTTTTGTAAGACTTGGAAGTCATTGATTATTTGTCTTTTTTCTCCCTCTCCTTGTCTTTATTTTGATCTTGTGTTGTTCATTATTGATTTAAAATCATTATTTAAATGATAATTAATAAAAATCAATCAAAAAAGGAACTGTTATCTTTGCTCACTGATTGCAAGAGAAAATATGAATTTGTTAGGATAACAAATTCAAATTCCTCTATGATATAAATCTATGTATTGCATGTTTCTATAAATTTCCAATATTCATAAACATTTAAACAAACCACCTCCTGGGTGCCCTATGATTTCTTATAAGAACCATCCACACAATATATTATTTTTTTATTAAACCGTTGGTATCCACTCTTCCAGCTTTGTTCAGGACACAAAAGTTGTAATCAAAAATATCAAGGACATCTTTCTGGTAGGGCTGGAGTGGGGCCCATTTTACATAAATCTATTAGAACATGCCATGGAGTACAGAAACTCCTCTGTTAATAACTGGAATCTTTTCTGGGAACGTCCTTGTCATGAATCCGGTCCATGAACTTCCGTCTGCTTACCATCAGAGGTCACCCTTTCCATTACATTGACTCTCGCACTACACAAACTGTTGCATTTCATCCCGGACTACATATCCCATCATTCATTGCACTGATTGCACACAGCACTGATTGCACATAGCTGTTTCATATTACTCACTCACTATTTAACACTCACTCAAACAACCATTCTCGGCCGAGTATTGTATGCGCTTATCGCAAGCAGTGATAGCTACTTTACAGAGCCCTCGTTAGTTTCCCAGTCCTAGCCTTGTCTGTTTTCCCGGTTTCTGATCTTTGCCTGTTTTCCTGGATTTATCCCCTCTAGTCTCGCCCTTTTGATTCTGTTCGCCGATCGTTGACCTACGCTAGTCCTAGGATTATTCTTGTGTCTTGCCCGCCATATACCTGTTTGCCATTGTTCGACCCTGCTTGTGTTTCTGACCTCTTCTGCTTTAATAAAAGCTTGCACATGGATCCGCACGTCTCACGTCTTGTCAGCAATATTCACATAGAAAAACATTTCTTAAAAGGTAATAATATTTCAAACATTACTGTTTAACTGTATTTTTGATCAAATAAATGCAACCTTGGTGAGCACAAGAGACTACTTCAAAAACATTTAAGAAAATGTAATAATTTCAAACCTTTGACCAGTATACTTTACATGGGAAGTTTTTTTTAATTTTATTTAAAAGTTCATAAAGCCAAACCAAAATTAATTTTGCTTATCCAACTATGCATGATTATAAGGTTAGTTTTATTTTTAGTCATTTTATTTTTATTTAGCATTGTTTTGTTCCTGTTGTCTTACTCTGTCATTAGAAGCACTGATCTAGATAAGTTATTATTAAATAACTACCAGTCTGGGAAAGTTATAATATATTTCTGTCAGGACCCCTATCATCAGTTTGGATTGGCATATGGTTCTGTTCTGGGCAAGAACTCCCTGCGCATACATGCAGCCTAGCATGGACAAGAGCAGGGAGAGCAGCGATAAGCCCCCTATAGGTTAAACAGATCAGAACCAACATAAATGTACTGCAGATATCATTAATGTTCATATTTTAGAAATTAGTCTGATTTAAAAGGGAATCAGAAGGCCGAATCCTAACTGAACGAGAGGAGGAGCTGGGGATGGAGGAGGGTAATTAGCTATTGAGCCAACAAGAAAGCTGCTGATAATACTGAAGGACCTTATATAAGGATGCTGTGATAGGCATCGTTTCCCTATTGGTAGACGTGGATCAGCTGACAGTCAGCTGATGTGAGCTTGACTGATGTGACCTGCCAGAACTAACGCTACGCTTGATATTTGCTAATTTGTAAATATTTTGTCATTTTAGATTTATTTAGGTTATGTGGTCTGACCAATAGCAAGAGGTTTTGTTTTGCACAACCAGAGGCGTGTTCATGATGACATGTGTTGTGTTAGTGTAGACGTGAGCAGACGTACCTCTTTGACTCTCTGGATCATGGGCTGCAGCCAGTCTGTGTTGACCTCACAGTGACTGTCCAGGAAGGTGAGGATGGAGGCCGAAGCCGCAGACGCCCCTCTGACACGAGACCGGATCAGACCTGACCAGCACCAACACATGTTCATTCCCATTCATAACACATCGCCATTCCAAAATAATTATAACAACACTAAATAATACCATTATCAGCTGAGGCTTGTTTCTCAGGTTAACCCAGGTGAAAAAGAAGTACTCTTAAATGTATTACAAATATACTTGAAATTCAGATAGTATATTTATAGTACAATTGCACTCCTAACAAGCTTACTTGAAGTGTGTTAAAAATGTATTGAATTGCATTTTAATATATTTTTAAAATGCATACTAGAAGTACTTTGGTAATAAATATATGCTTAGTTACGCTTTTAATAAATATGTTAAAACACAAGCATACATTTGTGACATTTTAGTGTATTTACAGAAAACATACTTATTTTACTCTTACTTAAAAGTATATTTTATGTTTACTTTGTGTAAGGACATAGTAAAATGATACAGCTTTTAGTGATTTTAAAGTATATGTATCTTACTTATAAACCATATGTAGACATACTGCAATATATATTTAAATGTTTATGTAATGAACATGTGCTTCAGCCTGCTTTTCAAAAGGAAGATAAGTTAAAAAACATTTTTAACCTTTTAATATATTTCATAAAGTATATTAATTCACTCACAAATACATTATCTATAAAATAAGCAAAAGTAATCTTACATTGTACCATTCTTACATTGTTGTCAACTACGCCTTAGTAAAATAGCATATTTAAAATCAATATATTGTTCGGTTTTACTTGTTTGTACTTGTAAAAGAATACTAGTCTGTTTTGCAATACAATTCAAATATATTTTAATTTCAAAAATTTAAATACATGATATATCATGTATTCTTTTAAATACATGATATATTAATTGTAATAGGCTACTATTTAACTGTATTTCCACAAGCATTTCAGCATTGAATCATTTGAAGTGCATCATGAATCATATTTCCAAAGATATGCTTAAAACAACTATTTATTTACTTGTTTATGTACCTAAATTCAAACAAGCTCAGCTTACCACGTGACGCGCGAAAACAAACCTCATTGGCTTTTGTGGAAGTTTAGGCGTGCTTGCGTAACACGTGTTACAGAACCTGATTGGTTCTCGAGCATCGGGCAAACATATCTGAGCTACCGTTTACTAGTTCTGTTGGTTGTGTGTATGTGCGTTGATGGATGTGAATAAAAGTTTAAATTAAAACTGTTAAGTCATATAGAGCAATCACATCTCTTTAGAGGACTTGGGAGAAACCAATCGATTCAAATGGATTACTTTTGCAATGTTTGAAGTCATGAAATGTGAACAATTTTGGTGACTTTCAGCGGAGGGACATAAATCAGATTTCATTAAAATACATCAGTTTTTGTTTCGAAGATGAACGAAAGTCTCGAAGGGTTTGGAACAACATGAAACAGAGTACTTGATTACAGAATTTATATATATATATATATAGGAAAAATGACTTGTAAACTCAATGGCACACAAAGCCATTTGACTTTCAACTGTGATCAGCTTTTGATCAGCTGAGCAGTTCTGTACGGTGGCCGAGAAGTGCAAAACAAATCACAATTCTGAAAACAAAATAACAAATTACAAATGCAAATGCAAATCTAAAAAACTAAATAACAATTCAGAAAACATTATAACAAGTTAAAAAAACACAATGACACATCTGAAAACAAAATAGCAAGTCAGAAAATACAATGACAAATCCAAGTATAGGCCTCTGCAGACCAATGTCATTTTCATCTCATCTAAATTATAATGCCTGAATACTGCCTGATAAAGTAGCGTTTATGAGAGTTGCGCAGCTTTTGTGTACAGCTGTTACAGGGGGGGGGTTGATAAATAAAGCAATCCCATGGCACACTGAAATAGCAAACAGGGGAAAAAGATAGAAAGGGGACAAATCAACAATTAAACACTGCGTCGTCAGTGTTGGTATTGTATCAGACATTTGCACTTAACATTATATGAAAATCAAGCTCAAATTGAGTTAACAAGGTTTTTGACCAGCGAATGACGGAGATCTGTGTTTTGTCTGTCTATAGAACGGCTGCATCTGAGGCAGCAAGTGCATTGCATTATACACTTTCATCAACTTTTACAGGTTATATAACATTTATTGTAGCTATATGGGTGCTTAGTTTTTCTTGTTGTTTAATATACTTGGCCAAAATCTCATGATATAAATGATGAAGCGTGATATGCACAGGATATTAAAAATGTACAAAAAGTATATTGGCTACAACTAGATGGCAAACAGCCTACTTCTCCACTCTTCAAACACACAAACACATTAGCCTTTAAATAGCTGTACTATTCAAACGTCAGTTATTTATTTACCCTTGCATTGCAAAAATCTGAAAAAAAAGTCTCCTCCTGTGAGATCTGGAGATCTGTCTCCTCCTGTGCGCGGTGTGTCAATCTGAATGGAGGCGGGGTGAAGTTATGAGGTTTCGCTGACAGTTTAAGGATTCAATGGCGTTATTAAGTTTTATTATTGGTTAAATATTTGTAAAAAACCCTCTGATTTAACCCTCTGAAATAATAATAACGAAATATAATAGAGATATTAAGTTTGGATAATTTTTCATGGCACACCTGACTGGGCTAGGGTATGGCAACTGCCATACGGAAACGGTCTTAATGCTGTTTGATATAACTCAATTCATTTAATTTTCCTAATAAAAAGACTGTTGAACTCTTAAAATATTTTGTATTTATATTCTCCCCTTTAAATTCTCTCCGCCCCACATAAAAAAATCCTAATTTAACACACCTCTGCCTGTTTTTTTTTTGCATTCCCATTTGCTCAAATAGCAAAAGAAAAACCCACAATAGTATTTTCACGACTTATAAAAAGAATAAAAAAATGAGAGAGATACTGATAACGGCAGTCAGAAGAGAGAACTGTCAAATTTACGTCACTGCCAGATGCTGTAGCAACACCCTCGCAATAGCGTTAACTAGTTTTTTGTATTCTGATTCAAAGGTAATATAATACAGAGTACAGTGTTGTAAATGTATGCATATTTTTATTCCATAGTAAGGGCAATTCATACAATACATTTAAACTGAGCTACTTTAATACCATCTCAGTTCTTTCTACCGCTAGTCTGCTGTTCTTCCTGTATAATTTGATTGACAGATGTCTCGTCCAGTCAGCGGTAAGTAATCTATTCTATTAAACCAATGGCGCTGTCTCAAACTATACCTACCTCTTCCGGTTTGTCTGATTTGTCGTTGTGTTTTCTGACTTGTTATAATGTTTTCGGAATTGTTGTTGTGTTTTCGGAATTGTTATTTTGTTTTTTAGATTTGCATTTGCGTTTGTAATTTGTTATTTTGTTTTCAGAATTGTGATTTGTTTTGCACTTCTCAACCACCGTATTTCTGCAAAGAAGAGCGGGCAAATATTGCAAAGTTTCTGGTTTCATTTTAAAAATAAATCTTTTAATCTCATATCAATGGATCTCACAGGTTTTATTCTGGTTCACATATTTCCTAATAAAGTGACTGTTGGGGCTCTGAGTGTCATGCTAACTTTGGATTCAGCACTTCTGTCGAAGAGATGTTAGGCCTCATTAACATTATGTTCAATGTAACACAGAGTGCTGTATGGTGACGACAGTCAAGAGGATAAAAACAGACGCTCGTGTCAAGCTCGATGAGGATTTAGTCCAAGCTTTGAAAGGTGAGAACAGAAATTCTATGCATATCTATGCAAATTAAAATACATATATTCAAAAACACCACTCAAAACCACTGATTAATTATTTTTCCTTTCACAGACCCTGCGATGCAGTTTTCATAAGACCACAGTGTCTGAATTGCAAGCCCTCAGTTGCAGAAAATGCAACAAGTCGTACTCAAATAAAAGTGATCCTCCACTTGAACATGGCGATGGTAACATTTAAAATGTTCTTTCTTTGTTCGGTTTAGCCATTTGCAGGCTTAACTTTGTAAAAAAAAAAAAAAAAAAAACGCACTTTATTCACACCTGCGCTTTATTGTTTTTCAGTAACTTCTTTATGTGTGTGTGTGTGCGCGCAAAATTGCATTGTGATAAATTTTTATTCAGTGATGGAATATTTATAGTGTACTTTCCAGTAATACAGGTATAACAGAAATGTTCTACAAATTGACTGAAATAGTTATTTTATAGCATTTCACTGATCTTTATTTTAATTTATTATAAATTATTTTGGTCAAGAGTTTGTATATGCTGCTGTACTTTTTAAAAGTACTCAAGGAATTAATTGTTGTAATGTACACAAGATATAGCAAATTAAAGTTTTCTAGATGTGAAAGTGTGTGTAATGCTCATTTAATGATTTTTGTACTTTTTAATATAGCTTTATAACAAACTAATAGTGTGTTGGTGATTTATGATGAGTTGAAATGCTATTGAAAATGTACTAGAATCACATTAAAGTGAAGCTTAAAATACAGTATATTCTAACTGTACTTCAAGAAGTATAAAAGTGTATTGTAAATAATGAAGTACAATTACATTACTTTAAGTTGTTCCATTTTAACACAACACAAATATATTGCAATTAGCTTAAAGTTCATCTTAAGCATATCTTAAAGAGCACTTCATATATTTTGTTCCAAAATAACACATTTATTATGCACTTAGTATAATATAATAAAAATATAATAAGTGCATCGATATTAGTACAACTTAAGTGTATTTCTTTTTTACCTGGGAAAGGCCACATGGAATGGGAGTTTTGTGCCATTTTAATCCATATCTGGTAGAATTAACTTCATCTAAAAGTTAATTTACCTTAAGCAGATATACAATACCATTATAAAAGTTTGGGGTCAGTCAGATCTAATGTTTTTTATGTTTAATGTTAATGTTTTTGAAAGAAGTCTCTTCTGCTTACCAAGGCTGCAATTATTTGATTAAAAATACAGCAAAACATTTTTTGAAATATTATTACAATTTAAAATAAGTGTTTTCTATTTCAATATATTGTAAAATGTAATTTTATTCTGTGATGTAGAGCTGAATTTTCAGCATCATTACTCCAGTCTTCAGTGTCACATGATCTTCAGAAATCATTCTAATATGCTGATTTGATGCTCAAGAAATATTTCTGATTATTATCAGTGTCGAAAACAGTTGTGCTGCTGAATATTTTTGTGGAAGCCATGAAACAATTATTTTTAAGATTCTTTGATGAATAGAAATTTGAAAAGAACAGCATTTATTTGAAATAGAAATCTTTCGTAACATTATAAATGTATTTACTGTCACTTTTGATCAATTTAATCATTACTTACTAAATAAAATAATTAATTTATTTTTCTTATTATTATTTATTTATTTTTAATCTCACTGACTCAAAACTTTGTAACAGAAGTGTGTGTATTTAAACTTTGCAGGAAGTACGTGTCAATATGCATTTATTATAACATTTAATATGTTTAGTATATGAATGTATCTCACACGTACCTTCCCGGCGCTCGTTTCTCAGGCAGCGCACCTTCGGGATCTGAGAGAGCAGTCGACAGTCTTCAGCTACAGAGAGACAGACAGAGAGAGAGAGAGAGAGAGACAGAGATAGGAACATCAGATTTCCCAGAATGCACCAACAAGAGAGTGCACATGTGCATATCAACATTTCAACATGATCATGTTAATGGACAGTTAAGACTGTAACACACAAGATACATGTAAACAGTGCATGAATGAAACAAGCACGCACACACACACACACACACACACACACACACACACACAAACATACAGACAGACACACACACCA